GAGGACAACAGAGCTGCTTCATGGAAGAAGAACCTCAGCTTAGCCTGTTTGCTTTAGCTTTAGCACCGATGCTATATATTCTTATATGTATTAGCTCAGCGTTAGCGCGACAAGCTAACAAGCGGTCGTCCATCTATATTTTCAATTACAGGCTGAGTTGTTTCTACTTTCTCTTCTCTGTCAATGCTGTCTGGTAAAAACTAAACAGCCTACAGTATTTTTACAGTCTTTAATTTACAGTTAAATATATTTTTATCAAATAAAGTCTAATGTTACAACTAATCATGGATCCCTTTAAAAGTTCTATACGAGTGTTTGTATGTTGATTTATGGCAGGAATGAGTTTTACTCTGCTGACACGTTGGTGGCTCCGACTCAAGACCTGAGGAAGCAAAGAGACGCTGGTCAGGAGGAGATGGAGGAGAATCATCATCAGGAGGAGGAAGAGGAGGGGGAGGAAAAGGAGACTGAACAGCGGAGGAARGCWCTTCCAAGGAGACTTGCTGCAAAGTAAGACACTAAAATAAACGACAAATCATCAACGAAGAGCTCTCCTCTGATGAATGTTTTCTTTTTCAGACAGCTAATCACTCACCTGAATGTGTTCGCCAAGTTCACCAACCCTCGTTCTGCGTACCTGGAGAGCAGCCTGAGTGAGCTCTACCACCAGGTAGTCCTCAGCACCTCGTTGCGTCGCCTCGCAGCCTGGCTTTAAATGGTTTCACTAGACGTAATGAAGTTAAATGTGAGGGCCAGAGACGACATGAAGACAGGTCGGAGACAAAAGAAGTACAGATCAGGTTCGGAGTACTTAAAGGGAAAAAAACATACGCAGAGCTCCATTAAATCCATTATTAGGAAATGAAACCACAGCAAACCTGCCAGGAAAAGATCACCCACCAAAACTCCGCCAGACCGGACAAGGAGGGCATTATTCAGAGGAACCAGGAGGCCAAATATGGAGCTCTTCTGCAGAGGCGGGAAGAAAAAAGTTGCTGCTTAAAGGAAAAAATAACTAAAATATAGACAACTGTGTGTAACTTACCAAAAGACATATTAAAGTGTGACATGCCTGTCCTTCAAATACAGAAAGTCAAAGAAAACATCTTCATACTTAAGAAAATTGGCGTAACACACGATTTTACTCATCACATAACTTGCATATTTTCTTTTGAACTCAGCTCAGTCGAAGTGAAACAGGAAGTGATATCAAAGGGGAACACTTTAAGAAAAGATATTTAATTGAAACCAGTGGTGGGCAGCGCTAATTCAAATTTTAGTTGCACAATTTCTAAACTGCTAGTCAATTTATTTAGGTCCGCAAGTTCAAAAGCACATAGGATCAATAAAACTGAGCAGAAGCTAAATGTAAAGCACAAGATTATCTCAGTTTACCAGAAAACATTCATGTAAGAGAAAAGTCAGCACTTTACTGCCGTCTAGTGGAAAGATAATTTTCTTTCACAGATTGGCACGTTTYGTCGCAGTTTGGGGAGGTGATTTGTTGAAACAGACTTTTAAATCATGTTTGTAAAATAAAAAATAGTTGTGGATTGCCAGTTCTGCTGCTTTTGTTTTCTTATGTTTATGGTAGGACTTCGGTAAGAAAACATGCAGATATATTAGTCATTTTAAATTGTTTGTTGTAAAACTGAACCAATGCATTCTGGGTAGGCTACAGGATGAAGGACAGGAACCCGTTCTTTTCAAAATAAGAGTGTGAATTTAAACTGTTTCTTTCTTTACTATTATTTATTTATTATTTATTGCTGCGGTTTCCCTCGGAGAGGAGGTACAAACTGCACAGCTGAGTGTGGTTCTGCAGATCAGAACCGCAGGTGGATTGTGGCCCAGTGAAGTAGCTCCAACTGCTTCCTGCCAACTGTTCATCTCAGGGCCGTGAGATTTGTTTTTCAATATGTTATTAATGTTAACTTTCCAAAAAGGCATTCATGTTTTTTTTGCAAAAATTTGACGTCACAGGCACTTTAAAGCCTCGTCAAACGCGCCATTTAAATTCCAGGTTGTGAGGCAACAGACGAGAGAAAAGCTGCTTACTCGTCTTTATCAGAAACATTTTCGGTTTTAWTTTAAAGCATCATTCTGCCTTTTTGTTTTCAGTTGTTGTGTCATCAGGATCAGCAGATCCAGAAGGTGGCCCTGGAGTGTATTCTGGCCTACAAAGACCCCAACATCGTRCCGTACAAGTAAGATATCAAGCATATGAAGGAGTTTGTCCTGGTCCTCGTCACTGAGGGTCGGACTCAGCAGCCCTCGACGGTTACCTCTGCAGGAACGTAATCCTCCCTCCTGATCCTGTCAGATGGTTATGGAGCGATCTGTATCCCTGCGTTCAGCGAAGCTGCAGAAACCGAGGAGGTTTTGTCTTTCAGACGATTGTTGGAGAGATCGTATCAGAAAAATGGCTGACACTGAGTTTTAGACTCTTAAATTCACATTAAGACACCAACAGCTCCAACATGCTGATAATTCTGTTTTAATGTGTGTGTGTGTGTGTGTGTGTGTGTGTGTGTGTGTGTGTGTGTGTGTGTGTTTACAGGGAGAATCTGGAGAGGCTGCTGGAGGACAAACACTTCAAAGAGGAGATTGTTCATTTCAACATCTCTGAGGAGACGGGGGTGGTTGATCCTTCCCACAGAGGCAGACTGATCCCTCTGCTCATGAGGTACTGAAAAAAAATTAATTAAATTTAAAATCTATAGATCAGGGATGGACGATATAAACAATGGAAGGGGCCACAATATGTTATTGACACTACCAGAGAGCCACAGAGCTGCACTCTTACCCAAATGTAATAAAACTAACAAATAATATGTGTATTTCATTTTTTCATTTATTTCATTCTTAAAAACAACAAAAGTCCACTAAAATAAAACAAAGTAATCAAGAATTGAATGAAAAGGGTGCAGAAAGAGAAACGATCTCTCCCTTATTAAAAAACAACTTCAAACAAACAATTTAAATTTGAACAATCTCCATATTTGAGAAAAGAAAAAAAAAAAAAACAAGAACCAAACAACATAAATATGTTTAATAAACCAACACACAGCACAGTGCACTAACTGAAGATATTTCATGTAAAGCAGCTGTGTTTTTGTTTGTTAAATATTAACACAAAACGTTAGAAGTAAATGTTCTGGTAAAAAAGTTTCTGTAATTGTGTTATCAGTAAATGTCTCATATTTAGCTTTGTGCACCAAGACTTGTATTAAAGTCCCTCAAGGCAGACAGCATCTATAAGCCTCATTGGTGGATCGGACATACGTCACCTATAAATATATTTTATATATTATATATATTGTTCATTTTTAAAAATATTCATAAGAATAAACCTCTCACCATAACAGAATAAGCCATTTATGATCCAAAAATATCATTTTAAACATGTGACACTGTTACTTTTTGCTTTTTTTTTTTTGAGGTGATAATAAATTGTACATAAATTGAACACTGTCCTCAGTGTTCCTGCAGATCCTTACAAAGTCATAAAAAGTCTTAAAAAGCATTCATCAATCAAAAAATAATGCCTTAAAGTGCCTCAAATCAATCCTTCAGACAGATTATTTGTCTCAATTATTAAAATAATTTATAACATTTATTTTTTGTTAATCTCTCAGCTCATTGTTTATTGTAAACATTTGTGTAAAACAGGCTGTCCTAAATTTTATTTAAGATTGTAGTATTAAAAAGTCTTAAATTTAACATGCCTTAAGCTGTACCCTGGTCCTAAAACTGATTATTTTTTTAACTAATGACATCACGTCAGATACAGAAGGAGCTCTGTGGCTGCAGAAACAGATTTATGATCATGATTCATCAAGGCCTGTTGTTGTGGCTGCAGGACTACAGGGTGTCAGAACCAGAGCTGGGTTCACATTGTCTTCAAAAGTTCGGTCTTTTTTTTTTCTAGTTGTGCTAAATGCAGAACAGAGCTGAAAGAAAAAGCTCTGAAATGGTCTGAAGAAGTGATCATTCTTCATATCAGCTTTAGAGATGATGTCATCAAGGGTTCAAGCAGCTCCTCCACAGTGAAAGGAGTTGGTTCAGCACCTTGAGAGGAGCGTTGTGTCTAACAGAACCTCGTGTTTCCCAGGGTCCTGTTTGGCCGACTCCAAAGTAAAGCCGGCAGTAAGTTCCAGGGGAAGGCGAGCGCCGCCAGCCGCTCCTCCATCATCCTGCGCTTCCTGGCCGGCTGCCAAACGGAGGAGCTGGGCGAGTTCATCGACCTGCTGCTAGAGCCCCTCTGCCACTACAGCCAGGGTAAGACCCCAGGTTTGGAGGGAAATAAACTATTTACTGGTCATAAATCACTGCTTGCGGTTTGTGTTGTCGAACAGGGGTTCCCAAAGTGGGGGGCCGCCGCCAGGGGGCGCTAGGGGGGCCTCAGAAAGCTGGATGGTTTTCTATTTTTTCTACTTCTTTTAACTTAGATCTGTCAGTTGAACCTGGACATGTTTGGTATCWARATAAATCTAAGAATCTTGGCTAAAAGCTCGTGGAAACTATTTTTACATCCAACAAACTAGATACCAAAACAGGCTATAAAGTGTGTTGAAAGTTTTTTTTCCTTGGTTTTGAGTGAATATGATCCAACTGAAGTTAAATATAATTTATCATTTATTTTATAGAATATATGGTGACAAATAAATATTTGGATAACTTTTCAAAAGAACAAACATTCAGTAACAAGTCTTTTCAGTCAGGTAAGAAAAAAAACTTTTGCTACAAAAACTTCAGATTTATTAACATTTATTAACGGTACCATCATGGTCTGTCCTGTGCAGAATGACAAAATGATAGATTATTTCTTTACTAAAACCTCTATAACTTTGCTCCAGTTCATTTTAGCAGCATGAATCTTTGCACAGGTAATGTCCACAAGTGGATTGATTGTTTCCAAGAGTTTTTAGCCTGATTCATTATGGTTTTAAATGGGTTTTATACTGTCTTAATGAAAAATTATTCAGGTAAGAGTGAAAATAAAATTAAAATATGTTCCAACCTTAATATCTCTAAAACCACAGCAGCTGTTTTAATACTTACACTTCTGATGAATTCTCCCACAACTTAGCTTTATTTTAATACTAAGATTTTTAAGTAGAGTTTGTAAATTCTGAGATTCACTCATTTACATTTCGGCATGGTATTTTGAGGAAAAACATCAAGAAAACCCCCTGGGGCTTAAGAGGTTAAAA